GATGATTGAATATAAAATGGGTGTTCAGAAGAGGGGCTCCCTCTGGCAAGGTGGGTTCTAAGGTAATAAATTTGTGTAAGGCCTCTGTGAAGCAGGAGGAGGAGAGCTGGGTTTTTGTCCGGGCCTTGAGTGATTTCATTAAGTTTGTCATAATTGACTACCTTATGGGAAGCCTTTTTGAGGCCGACAATGAGACAGGCTATAGAGCCAGTGGCCTGGAGAACTGACTGCTAGTCCCATCTTGGGCCAGTTTGGGGGACCACATTAGCGCCACCTACGTGGCCACCGAGTGCTATCTACGGAGGACACAGCATGCTTCTGAGCTGCTAGTCAGACGTGCTCCTCTGGTGTTAGAGAGGATGACAGGATGACTTAGATCTCATGCCAGGTTAGGTCATAGGACTGGGTCAGGTACTTAAATTCCTTAGTAAAGGTGGTCGGGTCGGTGGAAAAGATCTGATATGCCTCTCAATTTGTGCGAGGTCGGACATGGAAAATGGAATGTGTACCCAGATAATACCCTCAGTTCCTGCTCCTTCCCTCGGGTAGAATGGGTGATGGAATAGAAGGAGCTGTTGAGGAAGGCAGTCATAGGGTAGCCTGAGAGCAAGTGTTAGGTGGGAAAAGGTTGTATTGGAGCTCGAGTTTTGGTATTTGGATTCTCAAGGGCTGGAGGAGAAGGTGGTTGCTAGTTAGGAGGGTCTGGGTCCCCAGTGGGGACAAGTTCCACTGGAAGTTCAGAGTGGAGGAGACCTGTTGAGTTGTTTGAGATATGAAAGCAGTTCCATTATCTGATTGTAATGAAGTGGGGAGGCCGAATTTGGGAATGATATGCAGAATGGGAGCTTGTGGGATCTTGATGGGATTTTCAGAAGCAGTGGGGAATGCTTTTACCCAGCCTGAGAAAATATCTACGAGGGTTAAAAGGTATTTGGCATGTTGCTTTTATCATTATTATTATTATTATTATTATTACTTTTTGGTGTGAAATTTATGGTTTCCACATTAAAAGATTTTTTGGAGTGGAAGTACTTTCTCTCTTTTTTTTTAACCACATAATGATTCTATACAGTTGCCCAGAGTAGGACACCATCATAAGTCATTAACATGCCATATGAGTTCTGGATAAATAAAAGCTACAAAACCCAAGTTATTTACAAATATCTTGGGCAATAATATTTACAAACCTATGTACAAAAAAAAACAAAACAAATGTAAACAGTAAATGCAGCATGAGTGTAATCAAAGTATGCATAGGGACAACCACTTGGGGTCAGTCTGCCCCCAGTTGCTGGCAGCAGCTGGCCCGCGGAATCAGACCACTCAATCCTTCCTAACACAACTGGAGAGGCCCACAGAACAAACCAAAAAGCTGTGGGGAAAAAAACCAAGATGGCGGCATAGGTAAACACCGGAGATTGCTGCCTCGCAAAACCACTTCAAAAATACAACTAAAAGACGGAAAGGACATCATCCAGAACCACAGGAAGGCTGGCTGAGTGGAAATTCTACAACTAGAAGGGAAGAGAAAAGCATATCGAGACTCAGAGGAGGTGCGGTGTGGAAGTAAAATACAGAGGGTACAGAGGGGCATGCAGAGAGGGCTGGTGGCTGAGGTCACGATTGTCTTTTTCAGTCGGGAGGGAGTCTCAGGCTCTGAGCTCCAGTTCCAGGCAAGTCTCTGAGGACCCAGACTCATACAGGAGAAACGGGACTATCTGGCATCCGTCGGAACTCGAGGACAGCTTTCTCTCGGAGGCATACACAGCAATTGCTGGGGCCTCTGAGGACAGGACTGAGAGCAGCCATACTGCTCGCTTGCCTTCCCAGTTGATCCCCTGGGACCCCGCCCTGCCCAAGCCGTGCATGGACGCTTTTGCATATGAAAGGCCCAGCCCTTTGTAATCTGAAAATTACTTAACAAACTGCAGCTGCCCAAGGCCCCAGGGCAACTCGCATTGCTTTACAGCTGGCTTCTGCTGGGTAGCCTCAGGCAGAGCCTAGATTAGCACCTCCTTAGATCCAAGAGCCAGTGTACCCAGTGGTCAGAGTGGGACTATCCAGATTACAACTCCTCAGATCTATAAGGGACACACTCAGGGGGCAGACTCAGTGAGCACCAAAGCCCCACTGAAGCAAGCATTGCCTCAT